TGGCCTCTTCCTAAGGAGGAACCTGAACCACCCGCCGCCGGCCGCCTGACAGCCGCCGCGGCTCCTGCCTCCATAGGAGAGCGTGTTCTCGTCTTATTGAGATGTCACTCCGGCTGCGTTTCCTTTGTCACTTAATGAGCGTCTCCTTAAATAAAGGGGATATTTCTTAAGAGCAGGGAAACCCTTTCTACATGTTTCTCTGTTGCACAAACCACATCCATTAACGTTCTAAAGCAAAACGTGTGCTCCGAGGATGCTGAATTGGACAAACCTCGATTCAGGTTGCTCACTTTCTCCTGATTATGAAATTCGGTCTCAGGACATTTTCCGAAATCTGGGAAAGTGTAAACTTCTCATTTCCTGTAATTAGTTCCAGTTATATGCCTGCTTCATAGAACTCACACGTCCTTGCCAGGCAGTCAAGAGGAATGATTGAGTGCTCATTAAGTGTGAAACCCTTTTGCATGCAAACATGTACTCTGCAAATGCCTGCTTTATCTTTTTTTTTTTTTTAATAAGTAGATAGTCATCTTTTCCCCCCTCTTGTTTTCATCTTCATATTAAAGTCAACTTCCTTAGACTATAAGTCCCAAGAAAACAGAACTGTGTCTGTTCAGGGGATATAATGCCCCTTACCCAAAGCCGGGCATATCCGATGGCTGCACAGCATGACATGGCTTCATGAGAGGCAAAGCTAGTCTAAGCAGAGGGACCTAACCGTCATCTACCCCTACTTATTGTGATGCCAGTAGGTGCCATCCACTCACAGGAAAAATCGACAACAAAAGCACATTTTTAACGACGCGTGAGTCGCTCTGCCGTGGAGGAGGTTTGTGTATATAATTGCGCTCCGTTGTTTTTGTTTGCAGGGTTCCCGTAATTTCCCCGTGCCAGACTCTGAGTCAAAAGAAAAATATCGAAGTGCTTAGGCAACAGCTGTTCTCAGCCCTTCAGGGTGGCAATTCTGAGCCCAGGGCTGTGCGTGTTCCCGTCGTGAAATGACTGCCTGTAAAGCCCTGTGTTCACGGCGCGGGCTTGGTGACCATCCTTGCAAAGCCAGGTGTTAATCATCAAGCCCAGTTAGCGGATCTTGGAGGAGAAAGTAACATGTCATGACCACATGCGTGTTCATGAACTCATCTCCCAAGTATTCCCATGGTCTGGCTCCGTGTTACTGAACCTGTTTCTGAACTTTGTTGCCTCGTTCTTTTTTTTTTTTAAAGAAAAGCAATTCTCAACATATTTCCGTGAGTGGCAGTGATGCTGATCAGAGAGTCAGCGCTATTTATTAAACCGCGTTGTGGCTGTACGGTGTAACATTCTCTGCTCATCGCGGCCATTCTTCTAATCTTTCTGTCGTTTGAACGAAGTGGGTTAATAAGAAGTAAAAACAAATAACATAAAAAATATAATTTGTTAAATAACAATGATCAGGAGGACTCATTTACTTGATTTGCAAACGTCTTTAAGATGGACAGTTATCAAAACTGGATAATGTTTTGTTAAAGAAGAAAATTGATACGGGATAACGGAGGATGCAGAAGTGAGAGCTCAGTTGAGCATGTCAGGACCGCATTCCTCACAGAATGACAGGGACAAGTAGCCTTTGTCAGACATTCATTGTGATACAGAGAGGAGCCGGTACTCTGTGCACAAACGCAGAATGTGTAGCAATGGAAAGGGAAACAGGATGTAGGAAAAATAACACGTACCACTGTACTGAGATGACTTAAAATGAGCATACGAATTCCATTTGATGTATGTGCAAGGAAGATGCATGCTTGAGGAAATCTTAAGTCACTTTATAGGAAATGTGCTGCCTGTTCGTGTTAAAGTAAATTAAAATATAACATTTTACAATAAATGTAATATAATCAGATCTTAATTCTTCTCCCCCCCCCCCCCCCCCCCACTGGTGGAGAAACAGGAAGGTTGTCGATGGCGTTGTAATTGTTTCAGTGTGTGGTGAGCAATCTATCAATAGGGTTGAACCATAATGTTATTGTTATTGATGATGACGGTGACAGTGATGATAATGACATGTGCCTGCACTGCGCTAAGTGGGGGGTGTTTAGAGGAAAGCTTGCTACCTTGCCACATGCATGCAGATGTGATCAGACACGCCACTGAGCATGTCACACAAAGCCCCACTGTCCAGCCCACCTTTTTAAGCCATTGTTTGTTGTTTCCTTCCAAAGCCAGGAAACCACAGGCTATAATGTTGCGGGGGAGAGAGCAACCAAAGGACTTGTCTGCATACATATAAGCATAACCAATGGACACAGACACAGAGGGGTGAAGGCATGAGCCCAGGTGGGGTGAGGGGGTGCCAGGGGAGGATAAGGACACATATGTAATACTTTCATCAATAAAGGAAATTTAAAAAAAGGTTTTTTCCCCCTCCCTATTTCTTTTTCAGCTAGTTTCTCTAAATGTTTGCCCCCACACCTGAATGTCTTCTCCTGGCAGGTGGATGCTTAATCATCTTTTGAAATTTTGTTCACATCGCATCGTTCAGGGAGCCTCGGTCCTTGTGGCTCTGAGACACACAGGGAGGCCAGCAGCTCCCTGCCTTCTCCAGAGCCTGATGCGTCTTTGAGCACAGAGGCTGTGTCCTGACCATCTTTACACGCAGATTGGGAGTGAACACATGTACATGGAACAAATGACCGGAAAAACGAAGTGAAATCCCAATATTAATTTTATTTTCTAGCTCTTTCATTAAACTCTGTTAAGCTGAATCTTGTCACACTGACTTGGGATAAACCTACTTAGCAATGATCAAATTGTATAACTCCAACAATTCTATCCAGTGGGATAAGCAGTCACCACTTGGCTGCTTCATTTTGCAACAGGGTTTTTTGGGGTTTGGTACTTGTCTCATTGCTTTTTTACTGCAAAATGAGGCTTTCTTTTTCTTCTTTTTTCTGCGTCACTGTCAGATTTTTCTTAGTATTTTTATAAAGATGCACAAGGAGGTCCATTTGCCAGCACTTTTAGGCCAGGGTGCTATTTTTTTAAAATTTTTTTATTGATTTCAGAAAGGAAGGGAGAGGGAGAGTTAGAAACATCAATGATGAGAGAGAATCATTGATCTGCTGCCTCCTGCCTGCTCCCCCACTGAAGATCAAGCCCACAACCCAGGCATGTGACCTGTTAGTTAATGCTCGATGGAGGCACGCTGACTGGGCAAGGTCAGAGTGCTATTACTGAACTCTCCTCTGCTATTTAGTATTCCTAAGAGAAGATATGCCTAAGGACCTATCTTATTCTCAGGAAGTAAGCTCTGTGTGTGTGTGTGTGTGTGTGTGTGTGTGTGTGTGTTTAGGCTTTTGGGATCCAGAGCTAAAAAATCTTCTCTTGTACAAATTATTCATCAACATGACAATCTTCATGCAAAGTTAGTGCCTTAAAACACAGAATCCATTTAGATTAAAGACTATTTATGAATGTATTAGAGAGACAGAGTTTCTTCTGCAAATGATAGAGCCCACACTCGACAAGACAAATTTCTCACATAGTTGTCTGGGCGGGAAAACCCTGGTCAGGTACGACAACCCCGTTCTGCATGGCTGTTTGGGGTTGGACATGCTATCACCAGCGTGTTTGGGATTCAGGCGCCTTTCCACTGCTTTGTGTTTAAAATTTCATGATTGTTAATTTTCTCTCCCATCTTATTTCTTGATTATTATGGCGTGACTATCTCATCAGTAGTTGTGCTTGACAAGAAGTCATGGTTTACAGTATTTTATAGGTTTGGCATGACAGAAGTCTTGACAATAAATATTTGCTTAATTAATGGAAAGTTCAGATATTTCGGGGAAGGGTCATCAATCTACAACTATTTGCAAGATGCTTGTGATGTGAGATGTGTCACTAATGGCACAGGGCCAAATTGGGAGCACACCTGCCTGTAGGGGGAGATACAAATAAAGTTTTTCTGAAGCCTTGAGGATGAAGAGTTCATTTTCATTTAAGCTGGGGAAGCAGAGCTTCCATGGAGAGTGGGGTTTCAATAATCGGAAATGGAGGAGGAGGGGCATTCTGGTCAAGGGCAAGTACCTTGGTTGTGGGCACATCCCCAGTAAGGGGTGTGCAGGGGGCAGCTGATGGATGATACTCTCTCATCGATGTTTCTAACTCTCTATCCCTCTCTCTTTCTCTCTGTAAAAAAATCAATAAAATATTAAAAAGTTATATAAAAATAAAATTAAAATAAAAAATGAATATTTATCTTTGCTCTTTTTTTCTCTGATAGGGTGACAAAGGAGAGTTTTATCTTGGATAATACTTTGGCAATACTTTATTGATTTGTTCATTTACATCACTGAAGATTAATCTTTAACATCTAGTACATATGATTTGTGTTTAGATGAGATTATCTTTGAATTTGAATTAAGGCACAATAAGGACAATATTTATAAATGTGTGACTTGTAAAGGGGGCCCTACATGCTCAGTCCTGGCAAAGGGCCTGGTCCTAAGTCCTGTAGCTGAAAGGTGGTGCCCTCCCATTTTTCTGTCCCGTTCTGCTGATACATCTTTTAGAGAAAGTTTCAGTTCCTGATGAGGAGCAGAGAGCTGACATGGTTTTTCACTTAGGTGTGCAAAAAGAATTGGTTAGCTTTGTGCACAAAGTAGGCTGAAATCAAGCTTTAATTAGTCCGACTTTTGCATAATTCATCACGGTCACTTTGTAAGTCCAGCTGAATATACTCTTGATTTTTATCACGATGTGTTCATTTTAAAGGACTCACTGACTTTCAGTTAGTTTCTTGATGCACAAATACTCAGGTCTTCCAAGTACAGTCATGACAGTGCACCCAGTCTCGTTTTAAAGAAAAATACATTGTTACATAAGGATCTCTAAAGAAGTGAATCAATCAATCAATCTATAAGAAAGTTCTTATTAAATATCATTCTTGTTATTGATATAAATCAGCTTTAAAGACAGGAAAATAAACTAAGGACTTTTTCTGTCTTTTTTTTTTTGATCCATAGGCTGTCCATCTGGCCCAGGCAAGCTTCCAGATTCAGGCCTTCGGCTCCAGGTTTATTCTTGACCTCACACTGAACAAGTAAGTATTTAGTCATAATCCTGTTAAGTAAGTGCAATAAAATTTCACTTCATGGTAAGGGTTCAGTCAAAATATTGACACTGATAAGATGCCATATAACACTTCAAGAAAAACATAAAAAGTCTAAAGTTAATTATTTTTTATTTTCCTGGAAGAAGAGGCATTTAACATTTAGCTTGCTAAGAATCTTAAGTACAGTTCTTAGAGAGTAGGATTTTAAATGAAATACATATTTGAAGTAAAGCTAGTTAATTGTTAACTATAATCATTATTATATACAGGAAGCATGATAAGTTACTGACTCAAATGTAAAATTTTCTTCCAATTTACCTTACAGTTCTCATATTATATTGCAAGTATGAATATACAAAGAAAAAGATGACTTTTGTAAATATACTGAGGAGATTCTTTGCTTTGTAATTTGCTCTCATATGGGTCTTTTCAAAATTTTGGTCCTGATAAAAATTTACCTGATTTTTCTCTGAGCATTTTAAGTTTATGTTGATACTTAAATGCTGTTTTCTAAGTTGGAACTCATTGCACAGATGTAATTCTACAAAACATGGGCAAGAGCTGTTGACAAAAGCAGTGATCTTTCTTAGGTGAAAGGGATTTCCTGTACGGGTGTCTTTAGTTTAGGAAGCTCCCACCACTATGATCAGTATTTTGACCAGGACTGCATCTTTGCCAAAAAAAAATACCATGTAATGCTATCAGACACTATAATGTAGGTGACCACAATCAATATCAGATAAATTGCAAAGGATTCTAAAAAAGAACTATTAAATTTCTTGTATGCCAAATTCTGTGTACACTGCAGAAAAAAATGCAGACTCAGCTTGGGTGCTCCTTACTCAAGTGTTATTGCAGCTTTAAGTCAGAATGAATCAGCAAAACTCAAAATTTCCTTTGTTAAAGGTACTGCAGGTTTCCCTTTTTGAGTCTGCTGAACATTGGTTAAGTTCCTTTCTACCAGCCTGTGTCAGCACTGTGCCTGCCTAAGACATTTGTCTTGCCAAATCTTAGATTATGTTGAGAAGCTAGCTTGGGCTAAATTGAGTGTTTTTGTCCTCGATTCCTTTAATTCTTTCTGCAATGGAGACTGTCGTTGCAGACTGTAGTGTGGCATTAACAACCAACGTTGCTAATGAGTTGGTTGAGGCTGATGGCCACAGTAGAACCTCCCAATCAAATGACTGAGGAAGGGTCATGTAGAATGTCCAGGGTATATACAAGTCTGGAAACATATCAGTAGGTTACTTATTAATATTTGACGTGTAAAGGAACCAATTTGAGCTCCTGCTATGAGCAATCCTTGCCGTTAGGATTATAATTTAGTTGGGAAAACTCATCAGATTAATATATAATTTTTGATGAGTGAAATTTGCTGTACTAGAGATAAATGTGGAATGCTATGGTGTATGTACTAGAGGAGATAGTGGGTGCTAAGTAGATAAGGCCAGGGAGCAGTGTGGTATGTTAAAGGAGAATGAGTCTTTTGTTGAGCTTCAGGGTAAATTACAAGACTGAGGCAAGGGGAATGAGTCAGGAAAGGTGGGCTTAGAGACAGCTCAAGTCTTGGAAGATCTTGTATGCCATGCTCAAGTGCTTGTCCATTATCTCCTAGACCACATGTGTCAAACACAAGGCCTGCAGGCCAAATCCGTCCCGCCAGGCCTTGCAATGTGGCCCGCACCGCGCTGTCATCACTGCACTCCGCTGCGTTTCCATCACAATGACAGTTTATGACTGTTCAGTAAACCATTCGGCCCGCGATTTAGGCTGGATTTTAGATTTTGGCCCCTTCTCTGATTGAGTTTGACACCCCTATCCTAGACTGTGAAAAATGAAGGGGAATAAACAGAAGTTGAATTTTCAGGAAGTGTTGAGGGATACAGTGAGGGAATGCAATATCTACAAATGAATCTGAAAACCAAACCAAGAAATCTAATGAACAAAATAAGCTGATGAATAAAATAGAAACAGAAGCATGAAAACATGGAAGAGTGGTGAATCTCAGAGGGAATGGAGATGGGGAGTGTGGGAAGAAATTAACCAATTTCTAGATTATATATATAATCTATATATATAATCTATATCATTGAGAATCATTGATCGGCTGCCTCCTGTGTCCTGACTGGGAATTGAACCGTGACCTATAGGTTCATAGGTCGATGCTCAACCACTGAGCCACACTGGCTGGGCCAGAGAAATTTTTAATTAGTCACGGAGGAACCAAAAGAGCTTCGGAGGAAAGAGAAATCTCATTCCTATTATTGGGTGGTCATTGCCACATGATTAACAACAACTTTATTTTTAAAAATATATATTTTTATTGATTTCAGAGAGAAAGGGAAAGGGAGAGATAGAAATATCAATGATGAGAGAGAACCATTGATGGGCTCCCTCCTGCATTCCCCACAGTGAGGATCGAGTTCACAACCCGGGCATGTGCCCTGACTGGGAATCAAACCATGATCTCTTGGTTCATAAACCAACACTCAACCACTGAGCCATGCCAGCTGGGCTCTTTACAACAAATTAAAATCATTGGAGAAGGGAAAAGGCAAAAAGTATATGATAAGTATATGGGCTCAGTGAAGAAGTGAAAGCGTAGAGATGTTAACAGATTACGGGTGGATTACGGGCATTCTTGTGTTTTCATATTACACGGTGTTTTACATCAATGTGAAAGGCACACCTTAAAATTAAAGACCCATTGCATTTTGAAGTTATTTATTATGTGCTCTTACAAGCTCAGATCTTTTTAAAGTATGATACTTTGTAAAACGTTTTTTTTGTACTTGTTCATTAGAAGCTTATCTGGCCACTGGGTAAAGCTAGCAATAAAACTACTGGTGCGCAATGTGCTAAAATAAACTAATCAAAGTGGTGACCATAGAATCTAAATGGCTAATCTCCTCACCAGGCCTGGACCATCAGCTTGGGAAAATTACCTTGATGTGAGTTCCTGAGAGGAAAGTTTTTCGGTTTGTGTTCCCCTAGATTGAACAAGGGAGGCCTTGGCTTGCTGAGGCATCTTATGGCAGAGGTGTGGGTTTTATTTATTTCTTCCTCGAACATGGAGGGAACAGCTGCTCTGTGCCCGTGGCTGCTGTAGGTGCTGATGCTGCTGGGAACAAGATAGACAAGGTCCCTCCCCTCCCTGATGGAGCATCATTCCAGGGGAAAAGGCAGATGGTGAACCGCTAAATAAAGATAAGTACATTGAAGGACATAACAACTGGGCTATGCAATGGAGAGGGATTGTAGGTTGGGGTGACTAATGTTATTTAAATGTCACAGAAGCTAGGAGGTCTGTCTGAGGAGGGACAGTGAGCTGAGACCTGATTGTCAAAGAAGAGCCACCCCATGTGGCTGGAAGGCTAAGGATGCCTCACAGCTGGGACAGTAAGACAACAAGTGTTGAGGAGACTATGGAATGTTCAAGAAGGACAGAGGCAAGTGTGCCTGGAGTGCAGTGGGGGCCAGGGGATGGTAGGAGGAGACAGGACCAGAGAGAACCAGGAACCAGAACATGGTCCATGGTGAGGCATTTGGGTGGGAAGGCATTGGGCAATAAGCATGGATGCCATGTCATCATTTTATTTGGCCCAAAAGGTCTTCATTGTGGCCTTTGAGGGCCTTCGGTCTTATTCCTTTTAGGGAACCCTCCTTTTCAATTTTGCTTTGTTCCCCCCTCCCCTCCTCCGAAATAACCATTGTTTCAAGTTACTGAACGTTTAAAAAGGATTAGGAGATGAATAATTCTTAATGTTTATCGATCCTTTGAAATCTTGGTGGGGGTGGGGCGGGATCTGAGGATTGTCTTCTCTATGTGTATGATTGGAATTATGCCATAGGCCCTATTACCTGTAATTAAATTTGCTGGTGTCTTCAGCAAATGTGTATTGGGAATAACTGTGGTCAGAGCCACGTCATGGTTGAAAGCACAGGCTCTGGAGTCAAACAGACCTAGGTTGGAATCTGGGGCTGCTGTTTACTTATTTTGTGACCTTGGGCAAGTTTCTCAGCTTTTTATAATAACAGCATGAGATATAGCTCACATACCATGAAGTTCCCTCCTTTGAAGTGGCTTTCATTATATTAGGAGTTGTGCAATGATCACCACCATCTAGTTCCAGAACGTGTGTTGTTGTTTTTTTATTAAATATATTTTATTGATTTTGTACAGAGAGGAAGGGAGAGAGATAGAGAGTTAGAAACATCGATGAGAGAGAGTCATCGATCAGCTGCCTCCTGCACACCCCCCACCGGGGACATGCCCGCAACCAAGGCACATGCCCTTGACCAGAATCGAACCCGGGACCCTTCAGTCCCCAAGCCGACGCTCTTATCTACTGAGCCAAACCGGCCTCGGCCAGAACGTTATTTGTTGCCCCAAAAAGAAACCTTGTACCTACCTGGACCAGCCACTCCTCAGTCTCCTTCCCCCCAACCTCTGACAACCACTCATTTACTTTCTGTCTCTATTTTATGTAAATAGAATTATATGACTTTTGTTTTGTGACTGACTTCTTTTATTAGCATAATTTTTTCAAGGTTCACCTATGTTGTAACTGAATCATTTCTCATTGTGTAAATATACAGGGTGGAGCAAAAGTAGGTATACAGTGGAAAATAATACAATAATTAATAAATAATATATAATATAAGACTAAACTTTATGTTTCATGTACTCACAACTGTAAACCTATTCTTTGCCCCACTCTGTAATTTTCTTAAGCTTTAAGGTCCTTCCTAAGCTGAAGGTTATTGTAAGGGTTAAATGAGATAATGTGTGGCACTTACACATGTCTGCAAATTGGAAGGACATGTTCAGTGTTGTGGACTGAATGTGTCCTTCTGAAATTCCCATTTTGAAACCTTAACCTTAACTCCCAACATAACTATTTGGAGGTAGAGCCTATAAGGAGGTAGTTAAGGTGCAGTGAGATCATAGGGTAGAACCATGATCTAATAGGATTAATGTTCTTATA